TGGCCAATCCTTCTTCCTAGTCTGTCTTAATGTGAATGTTCAGATTTAGAGAAGTATCAGACAGACCAGCAAGTTAAAGGTATGTCCCTTATTGTGGAATTAACCATTAGTGTCAGTGCTGTCCCTGCCTTTGGCACACACGTCTTTACCCACTTATTTCCCTGCTCCACCGTCCACCATATTCATAGAAAATATATTCTTAAACATAAATATGTAAAATAAGAGCAGTTATCCACTGTCCTCTGACCATTCTTGCAAGCTGAAGAACAGTTTCTAGCTTTCTCATCATAATGGGGAGAGCTCTAAAGAGCCCTAATGTGTAGTAAGCTCTTTGTACTTAGAAACTTTTATTCTCTCTTTGCATACAAGGTCAAGGAAAAGAACACTCATACTTTTAAAAGATTAAGTTAAAGATTAAAATTAAGATCGTTCTTAAAAGACTTCATGGTTTATTTTCAATAAATACATTTTAAGCTTGCAACCTTTTTTTTTTTTAGGTTTCAGAAATGACTCCAAAATAATAATGTCTCTTTAATGTGTTACAATATCGCATCGAAGAATTAGATGGAATACCTGTACTAGTACAGGAAAACTGGGTAAGTGCACTGTGTAAGTGAACTTAGTGTTTTCATTGAAAAATTAACATCTCATCTTATTCATTTTCTTAAAGTCTCTTATTTAACTTTTCAAGTTATTCTTCATTGTGTTTCATATGACAAATCCCCTCCCCCTCCCTAAACTTACTTCCCCTGTATTTTTACTTGTGCTTTAATTCCAGGTATTGATTTGTGGATTTATCACCAATAATTTATCACGAATTATACAGCAATCATTGCTTTAGAAAATATGTTTGAAGTAGTTTTTGTTTTTTTTTTTTTTCAGTTAAGTGAAGAATACATTTCAAGACACTCACAGGGACCCCATTTCATGACCACTTATAACTGGGAATAAAATTACAGCTTTCAAATAACTCTCAATATATGGTGGAATTCTGCCACCTATTAGGGGATGGCTTATTTTCTAATGTATATCATTTAAGACTTTATACATCATGTGGTATAGTATTTCTGTCAAGAATTCCCAAGGCTCGGATTTGTTTTTCTTGATGCCAAAAAGAAAAATCAAATCTATCACTGAACTAAACTCCACAGGTGTTTTTTTAATATAAAATTTTTCCTTTAATATGGTTTACTTGTAAAGTTCATATACATGGTTTTTCACACCAAATCTTTCTCCATAATGTTTTCTTAACTACAACCGTTATGAAAGAGATCAGGTCTTTCTTCCACTGAGTCTCCAGGTGGATTCAAACTACTAACCTTTCAATTAGTAAACCATTTACATGACTCAAGGAAAAATAACCTTATTTTTAACCTTTAACTTAATCTTGTCTTCTTTTTAAAGTATGAATGTTCTTTTCCTTGACCTTGTATGCAAGGGGAGAACAAAAGTTTCTAAGTACAAAGAGCTTACTACACATTAGGGCTCTTCAGAGCTCTCCCCATTATTATGAGAAAGCTAGAAAAAGCTCTTCGGCTTCCAAGAATGGTCAGAGGACAATGAATCATGTAATGCCAAACTCTAGTTAATACAGACCACAGATTAAATGGAATAAGCTTTCACATATATTTGAAGCAAATGAAAATACAATGGATGGGTCAGATATACTTTGGTCCTCAAAGTGACATCTTTGTTTTTTAACACTTCAAAGGAGCCTTTACAACAGATACAGCAAGTCATCTGATTTCTTGACTTATTTTCCTACTTACTTGGGCACTGATGTGGATCAGGGGATGTAAAATGGAATCCTTACCCTTCAATCTTTTCTTCATTTATCATGCTGCTGCTTACTGATCTAGTTCTTAGGAGTTTTGTTTTCTTTATGTGGAGGTGTAATCCATACTTGAAGGCTATAGTCTTAAAGCTTCATCAATAGGTTATGATTGACATAATGAAATATATTTGGATAGTTAATAAAATCAGGTACACATTTTTCTAGTATTTTCTTTCAGTCAAGATCCAAAACAATGATACAATACAATGACATCCCTCGTTGCACATCTCCATCTAAATCCTGCTTGAATTTCTGGCAATTCTCTGTCAATGTACTGCTGCAATTATTTTTAAATTATCCCCAGAAAAATTAAATTTGAACATAAATCAACTGAACTTTCAATACAATATATTGGAAAGCTGGGATAGAGAAAAGAAACTAGAAATACAATAAAGTACATGCTCTCAAGTTTAATCAAAAATGTAATTGTCTTACCTTTTCAGGTCAACAGTTGTGACACTAAATACAACTCCTTTGAGCCAAAGAATCATGAAGAGCCTTTGGGAAAAGGGGCAGTTTCCTATGCTTTCACCATCACTGCCAGCCTGAGAACAAAAGGAAAAAAACAAGGTCAGATCTCTTGCTAACTTTTCATCAAGAGTACAAAATGACAGAAAAAGTCGTATTGTAGAACAGCAGAAATCCAGGTCTTGATTATTTTACTCTTTTATTTCCCTTCTTAGAAATGCTCAGTATACTACAGTGTTGTCTCACAGAGCTTTTTCCAGTGATGGAAATGTTCCCTGTTTGCACTGTGCAAAACTGCTAATCCCAAGGTTGGCAAGTCCACCTGCAGTTTGGAAGTAAAAAGAGGGGTAGTCTCCTCCCATGAAGATTTATAGGTTCAGAAGCCCAATGGAGGATCACTGTGAGTGACCAAAGAAACTTAAAAAAAAAAAAACAACAACACACACCTGAACTCACTGTCATCAAACCAACTTAAAGTTGACCCTCCAATGGTTTTTCAAAGGCTATAAATCAAATGGGAGGAGATTGCTCATCTTCCTGGAGCAGCTGGTGGAACTGAACCTTGAGAGAGTTATAGCCCTTGGCTTAAAGGCAGAGGCTCCTTACCCACTACACCATCAGAGCACCCCATGATTAGAGAGTACTTAAAACACAGCTGGTCTAACTAAACTGAAATTTTAACATTATTTTTTAAATTTTTAATTAATTCAAATTTAAAAGTCACATCATGACCATATGAGGTAATACAGACCTAATCAATCCTAGAGAGAAACACAAAATTTTTCCTTAAAACAAAGTCTAGCATAAGTTTCATGAAATCTAAGACATTTCTTGTTCTTTGTAATGTATTCATTATATGTTCATATCAAAAGAGAAGCTTATAAGTGTACCTGTCTTCAAAGACATTAAATAAGCTCCTTTTTAACATACTCCTTTAGGGAACAAGAAAAGAACAAATTATCTTTTTGGATAACAGTGAAATATACTATAGGACTATGACACCTGTGCTCATTTAAAAGATATTTTATAAAGCCATTTCTAATGGATTAAAAGCTCATTATCAAAAAGACAAAGATTCTCACCACTGGGGCAATTGAAAGCACCATGATAGATGGAGAGGAGATTGAGGTTATTAACAATTACAGCTTGTTTGGTTCCTCAATCAACAATCTTGGCACCAGCAGCCAGAAAATCAAAAGATGAACTGTGTTGGGAAGCTCTACTGTCAGGGACCTCTCCAAAGTGCTAAAGAGCAACGATGCCAGTCTAGAGACAAAGGTGCACCTGATCCAGACCATGGTCTTTGTAATTATTTGCCATGCATCAGAGAGCTTAACAGTGACTATGGATGACGATTTCTTTGAGTTATGGTGCTGGAGAAGAATACTGAATATACCATGGACCTCCAAGCGGACAAACAGGTCTGTCTTGGAGAGGGTGAAACCAACCTGCTCCTTGGAGGCAAGGATTCTGAATTCTGAAGCTCCATCTCACATACTTTGGACACGTGGCCAGGAGGGACCAGTCCTTTAAGAAAGACATCATGCTTGGAAGGACAGAACAACAGCACTAGAGAAGAAGACCCCAGATGAGATGGACTGACACAGTGACTAAAGCAATGGGGCTAGATGTGTCAAACACAGTGAGACTGGCTCAGGATAAGGTGGAGTTCAGAGCTATTGCACATAGGGTCACCGAGTCGCAGGCAATAATTGGTATGTAACAACAATGGCACTTTATGAAAAGAAGTTGGCTCCCCTGATATAAAAGAATAAATCTTTAATTACATCACTTGAGCTCTAAGGAGGGAAAAGTTTACACAGAAGGAGAGAGTTGACATGCTCAAATGGACTGCTCTAACAATGGTCTTTTTCAAAACTTTGTTATTTCCTTTGGCCCAGTAGTTATATATCTGGAATTTTTTTTTCTATTGAAACAAACACAGATATCCAAAGATAGAAATTTTTAAAAGGAGGCTAATTGAAGCATCATTATTATTATTAACAAGAGCTCTTTGAAGACTATAAGGGATTTGTTAAATTATAGCACATCTATATGAAAAAGAGTTAAGATTATTTACACTGAAACTAAGAGGAAATGATAAAAAATGTTTATATTTTTAACAGGAAAAAAGGGTGTGTACATTGAACACAAGAATATTGAAGAATATGTGGCAAATGATTGGGTGGAAATATCAGGATAAGAGAATTTTCTGTAATGTCTTAGTTTTTATTCTTAAAATAATGAGTGATATTACTATTAGCAGTTTTTAAAAACATGCTTTTCTGGAAATCCAAGTTCTCCCTCATTTCCCTGAAGAGTATAACATGCTTACCCTTCAAATTGCTTTTAAAAACTGGCTTCTCATCAACTGCCTCTTCAAAACTTACAACAACTCAAAAAGGAAACATATACAAGTTTTGCCCAGTTTTGACAGTATTGGAAAATTGGAAGTTACTGATCAGATGATATTCTTATCATATATAATGAATTTGTAGAGAAATTCTGATTTCAAGAAGCTATAAATAAAAACCTCACTCCTCTAATTCAAAGTATATGATGACTGTGTACTCCTTTCATCTTTTAATGCTTCCTGGGTCATTCAACATTCTGCCCACAACATCCTTAAGTACTGCAACTCAAGGCTTGAATTTGTTCTTGTTCCTCAGTTCCTTCAGCTTGAGAAATGCTGAGTGAGTTCATCCCTTCTGATTTTTCAACTCCAGCTTTGCCAAGTACATTATAGTACTTTATTTTGTCTTCCTGTGCTGCCCTTTGAAATCTTCTGTTCAGGTCCTTAACGTCTTCATTTCTTCCCTTTGCTTTGGCTTCTCAGAGCTCTAGTGCAATATTCAGTCTCTGCTGACACTCATTTTGGTCTTTTCTTCTTCCTCCATCTTTTTAACAACTTTTTGTATTCTTCATGGATGATACCTGATACAGTCCCACAGGTTACCTGGTCTTCGCTCATTAGTATTCAAGGCCTCAATCTGTTCTTGAGATAGTCTTTAAATTCAGGAGGGATAGACTCAAGGTCAAACTTTGGTTCTTGTGGATTTCATTTTATTTTCTTTAGCTTCAGTATGAACATGCATACAAGTAGCTGATGATCTGATCCACAATCAGACCTGGCCTAGTTTTCACAGCTGATATTGAGTCTCTCCAATGATTTTCCCCACATATTAAATCAATCTGATTCTTGTGTACACCATCAGGTGAGGTCCATGTGTACACTGTTTGTGTTTCTTGTACAAGGTTATCATTTTGTTTCCAGTCTCATTTCTATCACCAAGTCCATGTTTCCTGACAACCAATCCTTCTTCTTCATTCCCAACCTTTGCATTCCAATCACCCATTATTATTAGTGCATCCTGGTTGCATGTATGATCAATTTCTGATTGCAACAGTTGTTAGAAATCATCTATTTCCTCCTCTTTGACTCTGTTGGTGCATAAATTTGAATAGTGGTATTAACAGGTCTTCCTTGTATGTGCATGGACATTATCCTGTCACTCACATATTTCATGATGGACCTAGAAATGGTATTTTTAAGTATGAATGCATCACCATTTTTCTCTTTCATGTCAGTGACTTGACAGCACAAAACAACAACAATCTGATGGCCTAGTGGCAAGAAGCTGCACTACAATACTGAAGGCACATGGTTTGAAACCACCAGCTGCTCCTCGTGTAAAAGATGGGCAATCTCCTACCATGTGAAAAACTGCCTCTAAAAATCTGTCAGAGGGTCAGCTATGGGTCAGTTCCACCTCAACAAAACAAAAATCTAAGTTGTACTAGTAAAACTCCATTTCAATAAAGCTGTAGGATTAAAAAAAGTCTGCTCAGTATGAACTATATTGCCACAGGAGACTGAATAGAGTGTAACAGTATACTTGAAATCACTGCACTGAGGTCAAGAGAATCTTTATTCTAGGCCTAGTTTTGTCCTACTAGCATAACAGTAATGGCTACATAGCATCTAAGAACAGCACCAAAGAAAAGTATGTTTTTTAAAACTGCTAATAGTAGTATTACTCATTATTTTAAAAATAAAACATTATTTTACCCTGTAGTTTCTACAGAATCATTTGCCACATATTCATCAAGATTTTTTTAATGTACATACTTCTTTCCTTTTAAAAATATCAACTAAACATTTTATCATTTCATCTTAGTCTCAGTGTAAACTCTTTTTCATATGAATGTTCTATAACTTAACAAATCCCTTATAGTCTCCAACGAGTTCTTGTTAGAAATAATGATGCTTCAATTAGCCTCCTTTATAAAATTTCTATCTTTGGACTTCTGTGTGTTTTTATGGGGGGGGGGAATTCCAGATATCTAACTATGGGGCCAACAGAAGACAAAAAAGCCTGTGAAAAAGACCACTGTTAGGTAGATGGTAGCAAACCTGGATAAAATATTAAATATTTAGTCTATGTCTTGGTGTTGCTTGGATTGAGTAATTTCTGTCTTCCAGTTCACTGATTTTTTTTCTCCTCCTTCTGCCTCCTCCAACCCACTGTTAAGCCCATCTACTGAGCTTTGTTTTCCAATTATGGCATATTTTAGTTATAAACTTATACTTGGTTCTACTTTATTCCTTCTATTTCTTTACTGAGACTTTCTTTCCTTTGTCCATATGTTCTAAAGAAGTACTCATAATTGCTCATTGAATCACTCATATCATGGATGCTTTAAGCCCTTTGCCCAGTAATTCTAATAACTGTTATTTCAGTGTTGGCATCTATTGTTTTGTTTTTAATCAAGATGTTCCTAGTTCCTGGTAAGAGGTGTTTGTTGTGGTTTTGTGTGTTTTTTTTAATTGAAGCTTTCCATTTTGACATTATGTCATGAACCTGCTTAAATTCTATTTATCTGACTTTCTCTGACATCACTTTGGCAAGGAAAGGAAGGGAACATTGCCTTGTTAATGCCAAGCAGGAAAGGAAATCCAGGTTCTCCACTCAGCCTTCACTGACACCAAACGATGTCATTCATTCATTCCTATTAGATAGCAATAAGAGAGTTCCAGCTCCCAATGTTCTCCACTAACTCTGCAGTGGAGGTGATT